CCTTATTTCTAAGGGACATTTTACTTCGCCTACATATCATCGGGTAGAGACGTCCTAGAATGAAGGCGGCACGGTCGCGTACCGTCTTGATTGGGGGCGGAATGTATCCCCCCCCCCTACTGTCCAGGTGTGACGCCTAAATATTTGACCTTCGGGGCCCACGGTATGGGCTGGTCGAACATCGTGATTGGGCGAACGGCGGGGGCGGGGTTATTGACGCGCCTAGTCGGGAGGAGGGATGCTCAGCGTGGTGTTCGGAGGGCGACCCCTTTTGAAGAGCACCGCTGTGCTTTTCGTGGGGTTAATGTCGATGCGCCACTTCCGGAACCACTGTCCCATGGTGGTAGCTGCGGTCTGAAGTCGTCGATGAAGCAACGCCTTCTTCCTACACGAGTAGTGATGGCGGTGTCATCGGCGAAGAGCGCCAGATGGGTCCCTCCGAGACGGGGTATATCGTTTGAATACAAACTGAATAGTAACGGGGAGAGGGCGGAGCCTTGCGGGACTCCGGCTGTGACGTGACGGGGCCGGGAACGCGTTCCCTCGACTCGATATCGGAACGAACGGTTCGACAAGTAGTCTCGTATGATGAGCACGAGTCTGTCTGGCACTCCCATGTTATACAGTTTGTATATCAAACCGTTGTGCCAGACTTTGTCGAACGCCTTCGCTATATCGAAGAAGAGGGCTCCTGTCGGAATGGCGCGCGTGACGGAGCTGCGCGCCGGTTTTATACCTTTTTAGTAGGGTTTCCTTACTATATAATGCCAACTACATAGGCCACAACTACACCTGGGAAACACGATGTAAAACTCTCAGTTTCATTGGAACAAAGGGAGGGTTGCTGAGTTATTCGTAAATATGTGTGCGTGCAGTAAATTTGAAAGTGTATTATTTATTTTCTAACTCATTATTATTTTAGATTTCAGACCCAGTTTTGTATTTTTATTCGCCGTTTTTGTGTGATTTTGATTGCATCATGTTGTTGAAGTGCTTTTCCACAACCACCAGTTTATTATTATATAAATAAAACTTATAATCGCATTGACTTTATTTATTAGGTAGTAAGCAAAATATAACTCTTATGTAGGTAAATAAAATAAGGAGTTTCAAATGTCTAACCACGAGTCTAAACCAGAGTCTAACCTCGAACTATATACTTTATTACTAAAAATTATCAAAATTAAATTATCAAAATATGCGCGAATCATGCACAGATCCATGCCATTGCACAACAATATCATATATTTCCATTTGCGGTCCACATACTATTTGGACATTGATAGAAAACCAGCCTTGAGGAACGTTCAAGGTACGTCGCGACGTACCTTGACTTGACAGTTCGTTTATTCCACTCCGGTTAGGAAAATTTTCCAAGGACGTTTGAGTGGAGTTTATTTTTACGACTAAGCATACCAAAACGCGCATTGGAGGTTGAGTCGAGTCGAGTGAAGCTCGTGTGAACGACTAAAGATACGGGGGTTAGTTCGGCAGCGTTTGCGGTAAAAAAAAACGAACGTATACTAATGACGATACGGCACGTCTGGTTTATTTTAGTTATTTTCATAGTGTTATGACCTATGGCATTTTGCTATGGGGCAATGCTGCCGATGTCCTCCTGCAGAAGAGGGCTATTCGTGCTATTTATAATATGAACCCGAGGGAATGCTTGAGGGACAATTTTAAGGAAATCAAAATTCTAACTTTAGCGCACCAATACATTTTTGAAAATTTATTCTTCGTGCGTAAAAACATTGAAGAATTCCCCAGAGTCTGCGATTTGCATAATGTGAATACTAGGAACAAATATAGGCTTGCGTTGCCGGCGGCTCGAATTAAGAAAATAAACAACTCTTTTAGGGGGCTGGGTGTACAACTTTTCAACAAGATTCCACAAAACGTTCAATTACTACTTGTTCGTAGATTTAAGCAAACTGTCAAGGAACGTTTGTGCAACAAGGAATATTATAAGGTTAAGGATTATTTACTAGATGGCACTACGTGGGAATGAGGCGTTCGCTCCTGGCCTTTTCATTTTTCATTATTATAATTTTTTAATATTATTTTTTTATTGTATTTTTTGACTTGTTTTTTCGTTTATTGAAAATATTTTTTCTTAAAAAAAAATATTTTTTTTGAGAAAAAACAAAAAAAAGCCCGCTGAGTTTTTTTCGCCGGTTCTTCTCAGGACTGTGGCTTTTTTTTGGAACCGGTGGTAGAGTTAACATTGTTATCTAAATTTTGACATTCGACAAGTGTGTTATACTGACATCAAAGTTGAAATAAATGATTTTGAATTTGAATTTGAATAGGTTTCATACTTCAGAGGGTAGAGGTAAGGAGAACCGTCTCTGTGTCTGAAAAAATGTCCGTTAAAATCTGCTAAATAAGAGTGGCGCTACAGTAGTAAACGGGTAAATTTAAAAAAAGGCGCTGCAAGTTATTAGAACAAGATAGAGAAATAAAAAAAGACGAAAGAACTGTAAGCACTACAAAATCACAAAAAGTATGTTATTTAAAGCTGATAAGAAAATGCAATCGATGCCTCCACGTTTTACCACAGCAATATTTTTTTTTCTTTATTCTTTATTGTACACATATTTAATACAATATCATAATTGCGAAAATTTATAATGTTTATAAGGTTTTAATGACGCAATTAGTTTGGACTACGTAAACATGTGAGGTCTTTATTACCTACACTGTCACTAACTACTCTAGTCATTAAATATATTAAATTTCCTAACTCAGCATACTTCAATTAGTTAACAACTGCTCAATTCATATCATACCCTGTGCCTATGCTAGCGCCATTCTGGAGGATTTTTGAACTGTTATTTAGTGGTGAAAGTGGGACACTTTTTCAAGCTTCTTACCTCTACCCTCCATAATTTCGCTAAAGCAGGTACAGACAAGCCGTTCATAATCAAATCTGTATCTCAATATATTATGAGATATTTACTTGATAAAATACAAAACTTATTTTATTTTTTTGTTTTCATTTTGGTACATTACGGAAATAATTATAGTTTGAGAGCATTAGTAACGTGACGCTCCGAAATTTCCTGACCATTTTAATGTTCGATGAAAAAAATATATAGAAAAACCTTTGTCGCTACTTAGTTCTATTGCTATCGAGGTTCGTTGATAAGCACAATAAGGTTTGTTGTTTAGACTTTCGAATGTTTCAAAGCAAATCATTGGTTTTCAAGCTTTGTTAGACTTGAACAATGGCAACTAAGCACTCTTTAACAATTGCATTATTAATTACAGCTTATGAAATAACAGAATCGAATACGCGAGTTTATCATCATTCAAATCATATAAACGAAAGAGATGTGAGAAATAAGTTTTTAGTCGATCGAAAAAAAAACCAGATCACAAAAAAAAGAATTAAGATCCTTGACCAATATTTACATCACGATGTAGAAGAATTAGATGGAATATTACATTTTAAAGTCGATCACAATAAAGACATAAATAAAATAAATGCAATCGAAACCGAATTTAAGGATATAATTAAGATGAAAGGCGTAAAGTGTGCGTATAAAAGAGACGCTTACTGGAGAACGTGGCGGACAATAACTAATTCAACAGGAGAAAAACAAATTGTATGCTATAAATGTCAAAACTATTTGAAAAAAACTTGTCCTAAATGTCATAGCGGAGGAGTTTGGGTGAGTTGATCCTTTGTAGAGGACTCAGTAATTGTTTTAGGCTTGCACTGTGGAATTTAATATAATATAGTGAATAAGCATCATCATTATCAGCCTAGACATCAAGAAGTGGAGGTAGATTCCCGAAGTTCACTACAATAACCTGTAAAAATATGTCAAACTGTAATTTTTGGTGCATACATAACATATGATTTGATACTATGCGGTTATTGTTCCCCATCACATCTGCATTACCACTACCGACTTAAGACATCAGGTATCAGTTTCAATTTCAACAGAACGCAAGAATGCTTTGAGACAAATTTAACATCCTCACGTAGAAAGATGTAGCGACTAGGAGATGTATGGAAATGGTAGTGCAAGGTAGAGGGGGAAAAGGCCGACCGAAGAAGACATGGATGGAGTGTGTGAATGACGATATGAGAGAGAGAGGAGCGAGTGTTGAAATGACAGCTGATAGAAGAGAATATAAAAATTCGCTGCGCCAACCCCACCTAGTGGGATAAGGTGAAGACAAAGAAGAAAATAGCATCCTCACTTTCTTAGTCTTCATTTTACCAACGAATCGATCTAAATGTTAGCATTACACAAATTCTATAGTAATATAAACTGAATTAGTTGAGAAAAGCTGATAGTCGAAAGTGAGCTTTGAAAAGAGCCATGCTTGGAGCTTCTGTGAAAGATAAAACAATATATGAAACTCTACGATAGAGAAAGTAATCGACATAGCACAGAGAAGCAACAAGCTGAATTAGAACCGAAGATCGCTGGAACAGACAGGTTCTTAAGTGGAAACGGCGCACCGGAAAATGTAATAGGGGATGCCCTCTGGCCACGTTGAGTGATGACTTACAAAGGATGGTGAGAAATGGATGAGGAGAACCCAAAGCTGGGCTCTCTGATGTAAATTGGAAAAAACTAATGTCTTGCAGTGGACGATTGGTAATGATAATTACATAATACTAGCTTTTGCCCGCGACTTCGTCCGCGTGGAATAGTTACTTTGGCATAACGCTAAATTTTACCCGCGACTTCATTTACAGTACTCAGGATTGGAACTTCATTACTGAACCGGCAGATGGCGTTGAAGAAGCTAGATTTTGAGATTTTTCGACAAACAATTTTTTAATTTTTCGTAAAAAAAAAAATTTTTTTTTTCATAGGAACAAAGTATCCTATGTTACTTCTAATACCTCCAAGAATATGTGTACAAAGTTTCATGATGATCGGTTGGGTAGTTTTCGCGTGAAAGTGTAACAAACAAACTTACATTCACATCTATATATTAGTAGGGATTTGCGTAAAAACATCAGAAATAACATTTTATTTATAACACTTCCAAACAAATTTAATCATCTAATACAATCACATTTATTACCCTAATTCCGACGTAAATACGTGTTATCGTATAATATCAGACGATTTGTCATTTCGGTCTACGTGGCACGTCTCTAAAGTTTCAATTATTTCTTTGATAATGCAGATTATAGATGAAAGTTCGCCGCCTTGTCCTTATGAAATATTTTCCGTTGAAGATGATAGTAAAATATGCGCACACAATATATTAAAACAATACAACGATTCAACGAAGGAATGTCCCCTATACATCAAGATTACAGACGTCAGTTCTTCGTGTGATAATCCGATAACAACAAAATGGATCGTGACTAGAGATTACGGAAGCTTCTCGGAACAGTTTCCGGTTGTCATCTGTAATGGCCGAGAATATTGTCAATTTTCGACCTTGTACACTGTGAGTATGGTCTCCGTTTTAAAAATTAGATCAGTTCGTAGTCTAGACCTAATAGCTGGGAGCAGAGTTTGCCTCTGCTATTTACAACTACAATTCATTTCCAAATATAATTTGTCTCTCGTAACATCCGACTCCGAAACGAATTCTAATTCACTCTATTTGCGATGGACTATGAACATCATCAAAGCGAATCGAATGAATCACCTACCGATGAGAGCCGCAACTTAGATGCACACTTGGCACTGCCGATGTCTTTAAGAGAAGGCGATCCCTTGGTATCAATGTGCATAATGCGAGTTTTTTAACGTTCTCGATAGCGTAAAAGTTAACTCAAATTTGTATGCAGTTGGAACAGTTGGTAGGGTTGGTTGGGTAGGCAGCGGCTTGGCTCTGTCCCTGGCATTGCTGAAGTCCATGGGCGACGGTAACCACTCACTATCAGATGGGCCGTATGCTCGTCTGCCACAAGGGCAATAAAAAAACAAAAAAAAAAAGAACAGCGCCCTAGTGGCAAACGTTCCAACTCCATACAAAATTGAGTTAACTTTTACGCTATCGAGAACGTTAAAAAACTCGCACAAAGCATACAAGTGCATTGTTTATTTGCATTCTAAGGTAATAAACAAAAAGGTGCGCGTGCAAACTTGGTGCACGTGAAAAAGAAGTGAAACTTCTTTTGCGATGTGTAGTATTGTGATTACGCATTTCAAAATAGCAATTAGTAGCTGCCTGCAGGATTCCAGGTAATTTACGTGTATTATCTGTGGTTCGAAGTCTCAGTCGCATCGAAAAAGGGCGGGAACGTCAAAATAAATAGGCGCTTTTTTCAAGTTAATTTTAATTTATTTGGTTTTAGCCCTTTTTTACGACATTGTCTCTTAATTTTTCACTGTGTTAGAGTTTAAAATTATATTCCATAAGTGTGTTCCGTATTAATGGACGATGACGACAGGGGTGAGGGCTTCAGCTCCGCCCCTGTGTCCGCTCCCAAAATAATGGGAAAACGAAGATTGACCTCATCTGAATACGACGAAAGCCGCAAAATAAAAATGACTTTCATTAAAAATAAGCGCGGTCTTTTTAAAGACCACCATGCTCTTTACGAAGACCTTACAAAAAAAGAATACCCAGTGCTTCTTCAATCAAGCATCTCACAACCAAATAACAGAGTCCCAATGGACCTGTTAAAAATAAACAAAGCATTAAAAAATATTCAAGGGGTCCAGTATGTCAAAGCTGCTGGTACCTTTTTTGCTAAAATTTACTTTGGCTGTGCTCGGGATGCCAACGCTTTTTTATTAAATGTAAGTTTTATGGAGTTAAACAATTGGACAGCAAAAATACCTTACGATAGCATTGAGAGTCAAGGAATTATTCGAGCTCCTGTGGAATTGAACGAAGAATCTCTTTTAGTAAATTTAAAAGCTTCATGCACAATACTCGGAGTAAAAAGATTTTTCAAAAAACAAGAGAATGGAAGTGACAAGCCACTGCAAACTGTGCTGGTTACATTTTTGGCGTCTAGCCATCCTGATCACGTCACATACGAGCATATTTGGATGCCTGTTTCGGATTATATTAGACCTGTGTTACAGTGCTTCAAATGCTACAAATTCGGACATGGAAGTGGTGCCTGTAAAGCCACTCAAGTTTGCTCTATTTGTTCAGGCAATCATTTTTATAAGGAGTGCAGCACTCCCAACATCTTCAAGTGCTCCAACTGCAGTGGGCCACATTCTGCAGTTTCTTACTCTTGCTCAGTAAAGGCAGCCAAGGTTGCTGAAGTAAAAAATAAGATCATCGGCAAGCAAACATCATATGCAGCCATACTAAAGACTCCTGTTATTAAGAACCCCGTGACCTCTTCTGACATACCTATATCTGCGAAGACCCCTCAAGGTAGGGCTTTAATTTCAGACATTATCAATTCAGAAATTGTCATCAGAACCATTACAAAAACTTTAATAGAATTGTTAAAGAAAAAGGATTCTAAATCCCCTTCTGGACCTATATCTACTCAATTAATTAAAGAAATGCTAGTAACGAATTTTACATCATAAATTATGGATAGTTCTACTCAATCTTATATGCATAATTCTGTTGGTCAGTTTAATATCATTCATTGGAACTCTAGAAGTTTATTTCCTAAATTAGATCAACTTAAAGATTTCCTCAGTAAACTTGACAAGTGTGTTGATATGATTTTATTCAATGAAACCTGGTTAACTTCACATAAAATCATCAAATTACCTGGATTTAATGTTATAAGAAGAGATTCCAACCACCCACATGGTGGGGTTGCTATTGCATTACGCTCTAAGTATAAATTTAAAATAATAGACACAATTTCTCAATATCATTTTCAAAATATTTTAATTACAGTTTACATTAATAATTTTTCTTTTGACATTCTATGTGTTTACATTCCTCCACCACCAAATGGTAAGTTCACTATTAATTTATTGAAAGATTCATGTTCTAAATTTGTTTCAAATAATTATTTAATAATTGGTGACTTCAATGCACATCATGCTTCCTGGAGTTCAAGAGTCAATGATAGAAGAGGTAAAGCCCTTCATGATTATGTGGAAAGTTCTGAGTTAGTTTGTTTAAATGATGACACAATCACAACCTTTGCTCCATTTGGTCAACAAGGAAATGTATTGGATCTAGTATTCGCTTCCCCTGCTCTTAGCTCTAGTTGCACAGTTTCTGTCCTTGATGATTTGCTCAGTAGTAATCATTTCCCACTACTTATTGAAGTCTTTAACGATGCTTTTCTTCCTTCCCATCCTTCCTTTGGCCCGACCACCTCTTCAATAAATCAAGTTGATACACTAGATAATACCTCTTTAGCTAACATAAATTTTAATAAGATTGACTGGTCAAAATTTAATAAGTTATGTGAAAGTGAGTTTTCAAGTTTTAGCTTCGCTGATAACCCTCTTGAAAATTATAATATGTTTTTGAGTATTTTACATGACATATTAATGACTTTTGACAAAAAGTGTTACTCGCACAAAAAACGGAATTGTTCCAAAGCTGTTCCTTGGTGGAATGCTGATTGTGACCGCGTAGTTTTACAAGCCAAAGTTGCTTTATTATCGTACAAGCATTATCCAAATATGGAAAACTATATTATTTTCAAAAAGCTGGACGCTTTGAAGAAAAGAACTTTATATGAAATAAAACGTTCAAGCTGGATGAATCTTTGCTCATCATTCAATCGATTGACTTCGAGTAAAATTATTTGGGATCACATTCGTAGATTTAAACACGCTAAACTCAATCATATTTCTTCGTCTTCAAGTTTTTTTCAAAATCCCGCTAATGCATCTTTGTTTTTGGACTCGATAACTGGTTCTGAGAATGAAATTTCTGAATCTAAGTTACAAGATTTTTTTAACAGCCACGGAAAACCGGAGGCTCAATGGATGGTAGATCCATTCTCTATGGGCGAATTTGCGACTGCGTTAGAAAATAAAAAGGAAACCTCCCCTGGTCCTGATTTCATCCCTTATAAAGTAATCAAAAATCTTCCCCAGTATGCTAAGGAAATTTTATGGCAAATATTTAATGATCTTTGGCAAAACAACTGTATTCCTTCGAATTGGAAAACTCAACATGTAGTACCGATTTTAAAGCTTTACAAGGATCCCAACTGTATCAATTCTCACAGACCCATTTCATTAACTTCTTGTTTTTCGAAAATTTTCGAAACTATGTTAAAAAACAGGTTAGAGTGGTTTACTGAAAATAACAACTTAATACCAAGTACTCAATACGGATTTCGTAAAGGTAAAAGTACGATAGATAACTTAAGCTGTTTGATTGGCGATATTAAAAATAACTTCCATAATAATCAATTTACATTAGCGGTATTTTTAGATATTAAAGGGGCTTTTGATAATATAGATCATTCCTACCTTATTGAAAGTCTACATTCTTTAGGCTTTCCAGGACATGTTCTGTTCTGGCTGTACAATTTTCTGAACAAGCGCTCTATGTTTTTGAAAATTAAATCTAGTTTATTTGGTCCTAAAATTTCTACTAAAGGTACTCCTCAAGGTTGCGTTTTATCACCTCTCATATTCATACTTAGTTTAGTACGTTTCATAAAGAAAATTCCAAATACTGTTAAACATTTATTTTTTGCTGACGATCTTGTTCTCTATGTAAACTGTAATGATATTAAAAGTGGTGAATCGGTTATGAATAGTTGTTTGCGTAATATTTACGATTTACTTACTAATTCCCTAAAGCTTGAGGTCAATATTTCCAAAAGTTCTGCAATTTTATTTTCCCAAAATGGATTGCATTACCCTAAAGTTTTATACAATTATGATATTATTCCTGCTCAATCTTTCGTAAAATATGTTGGTCTTTCTCTAGATTTTGATCTTTCGTGGAAAACTCATATTGATGTTATTTGTAAAAGAGCTGAATTAGGTTTGAATATATTAAAATCGCTAACTGGAGTAAAATGGGAAGCAGTAGCCCAAGCACGAAAATTTAACGAATTCGTAACGTTAACGTATCGAGCCCTCGATACGTTAACGTTACTCCGCAGCACGAACAAAATTTTGCCAACTATCGTAAGCTCGATTCGAATACGTTAGTGACGTCATCCTAACGTAAGTAGGGACGGTCCTTGTGGAATGAAATGATTATCATACGGAATTAATGATTCGTTCGGAAACTTAACAAAGTTGTCATTTTATTTCAAGCTCCTGAATTTACAGTTTATCTAATTAAAAAATAATAAACTAGTGCATATAAAGTGAAGTACATATGAAGAAAGATATTTAGGAACATGATATGACATTAAAATCGACGGAATAACATAGTGTCTTGGATATCAAAACAAAACATTTCGGATTCCGAACGAATCCACTTGATATCGGCCAAGGCTAAGTTTGTTTATGTTTGCTTTAGTTCTTGTGAAGAGCGAAGGTGTTTCATTGTATTTATTAATTTAGTACTTATTTTTCAAGATTTAACTATTTAAATATGAGAACTAGTCACTCACAGTATTTAACAATGGTGGAATTTATGGAAGCGTAAGTACTTATAAAGTCCTAATTTATTAGAAAAGTTTTATTAACTCAAGTGTTTCAGTCAATATTTATGTAATGTGCCATACAATTTATATTCCAGAAATGGAGATTTATCAAAACCGTCAGGTGGTCCACGAGGTCGCAATTTTATACAGATGAAGTGGAAGGAGTTAACGGGAATATTAAATAGCGATTCTTCAGGAGATCCTAAGAGTGAGGACAAATGGCGTAAGGTATGTCAAGTGTTAACTCAAGGGACGCTATTTTTTTCTGCTGAAGCACTTGACTGAATCTACTAACTTTGTTATTCATCTTTCTTGTTTAGAAATTCTAATTTAATGTTTGTTTGTTAATTAAGGTGTGGAGTGATTATAAGAATAATTGCAAGAAAAAGTGTGCTAAAATTAACAGAGCTGCTAGTGGCACTGGTGGCGGACCAGCGCTCCATTTATTATTAACTGACCTTGAACAAAGGGTCATGCAGATAATTGGAGTGCAGGCAGCTACTGGCATGGAAATAAAAGAAGCTGGGTTTCCACAAGTTAGCTATACTTTACATTTAAATTGTGCAATAAATATTGAATGTAGTAAGTATTTTTTTTTTTATTTCAGGAAGAAATTTCAACTGAGAGGCCAAATACTGAAATTATTTTAAAGGAACCAGAAATAGGTACGTAGCACTTTTAATTTTAGATTTATTGAAGTTTATTGTTCCTTAATATTGTATCTTTATACATGAAATAAGAAGGATATCACAGCTATGATATCTATGATAACCTAAATGAGACTAATTGTATAAACTGGCTTATTACATATTGGAATAATTTATAGATTGGAATACTCCGAGCACAAGCAGCCAACCAACAGTGGCTCCACTGCCACAAACTGAGGCTTCCCCTCCAGTCATTGACGAAGAGGAGTGGAACCCTCCACCACAAAAAAAAAGAAAAAGCAATTTGACAAAAATGTTTTTAGATATAGACAGAAAGACAAGGGAGTATGCTTCAGAGCGTGATAGGGTATATGAGGAATTAGAGAGAGATCGGTTGAGAGTTAGAGAATTTGAGGTACGAGAAAGAGTAAGACAGCGAGATGAAGAGCTACGGATGCAGGGTCAATGGCTGGAATTTATGAAAGAGGCAATGGAAGCTTTTGTGAGGTTTATGGAGAGAAAGTCAAGTTAAGCTTAATTACTATATTTT